CACAAACACCGCCAGACCATGACACATATAATATGGAATAGGGTAAATACAATTATAAAAATATCTAAACACTGTGGCTATAAGGCATGCAATATAATAGACCTATATATACAGTAAGATAAAAATGTAGAATGATAATCCCTATGGTCTAATGTAATAAAAAAGTGATTTTAGAAAAATTGAAAAATATACGTCCATAGCTGGGATTGAACCCTCAACCTTTAGAATTGCAGACTACTCCCTCTACCCTCTACACTAACAGCCCAGAACCTAAACTTGAAATTAAAAATAGTTCAACTTTGTTTTTGTTACAGTTTTCCCTCTGCTATGTAATGCTGGATTCCTCAAGTAAACAACAGTGGAACGTTAACTACAGAGCAGTCTCCTGGTTATTGCATCAGAGTTTAACTTGTTGGATAACTTCAGTTAATACACTGCAGTGAGGACAACACATTGATTGTTTTTGTAAAATGTTTAACCTAAATTCTGGCTTCAGCTGAAATCAGCCTGACCCCTGCTGGACCAACAGGTGAAGAACAGACCTTTAGAAAACCTCCAACAATGTTTACCCTGAACTCAATGGAGACTAAATAATTGAAAAAACAACCAGAAAAAAAAAACATTTTTATTAAAAGGAATAAAAGTTGGTAAATCAAAACATTTCAAATTGAGTCAGGTCAGTTTTAAACATTTAAAACATTTAGACAGAGCTCACCTCTTTTCAGCTGAAGGTTGGTCTGATTTAAAATCTATAAGGTGACGCTTTGACCAGTCACTCTTTAAGGAAACACAGCTGGGTTCTGGTTCTGGTTTGAAGTTCTGTTGGATCCTGAAGGAAAAACCCTGAATTCAATCTTGACAATACAATACTGTATTTAAAGTTAAACAGTGAAGCCCAGAACTCTAAAGTGTCCCACAGTGGCTCTAGTTTGAAGTGGATCCAAATATTCCTGGTTTCACTGTAAACCGTATATTAATGATGGATTAATAATTAGCTCTGATGATAATTAATAAGGGATGATGTTTGGGTTTGTTAGCAGGAAATGACCAACAATCAGAAAGTCTGGATGTAGAACAGTGTCTGATGTGTTCTGATCTTCTCTCCTGACAAACTTTCTCCCGTTGAATCAGAGTCAGAACTTCTGATGGAGAAACAGGTTTATTTATCTTCTAGTTGATTATTTTACTTGTTCTAGTCTTAAACTGATGATCAAACCCCTGATTTTAGCTTCTGTTCAGCTTTTTATGGTAATACAGGTTATAGTGGTGCATTCAATGACCTTTCATTAATGTAGTAATCCACACTTAATTTCCTATCAAAGCTTCATCTTGTTCTTATCATCAAACTTCCTCCCAGCAGCAGGTCTGTGATCTTGTATTTCTGATGACATGTAGCGGCTGCTGAAGGAGACTGTGGAGCAGTTTGCTAATAATCAGACTGATGATCATTTTGAATGAACACAGATGAACTTTAGAAGNACACTCCAGTGCCAGAGTGTTAAGCCAGTTACGGTTAGCAAGCCTGAGCCAACTAACCTGTCTGATTCTCTGACTCCCCTGAAACCTGAACCTAACCTGTTTTGTCCTCTCTGCTTCCTAGGAAGAACCTGACTGAAACCTGAAACTCAGGAAGAGTTTCTCAGCTCAAACCAGCCTGTCTGACCTCAGAAGAACCCTGGAAGATCAAACTGTCTGAACCTGCCTGCCCGCTCTCAAGAAGAGAACTGGAAAGAAACTCTGATCTGAACACCACAAAGTCTGAAGTCAAGCCCTGCCTCTGCCTAGCCCTCTGCCTACCTTCTGCGTCTGGACCCTCCTGGTTCCCTCCCTCTGCCGCTCAGCCTGAACCACTGAACAGGTACAGACCTGTATTACTCAACAAACAACAGAATTTGGATTTCAACTAACCGAACTGTCCCTCTCTGCAGAGAACCTGTTGTAACCAGTCCTGGATCTGATTCTAAACATCAGTACTTTAATCTCATTGTGTTTCAATAAACTGTTGAATTTTTTCCTCTGCGTCCATGTGTTCTGCATGTGGGTTGGAAACCTTGCTCCCAACATGACAGTTTTACCCACCTTGTGTTTTATCTTGAGTAGCGTTTAATGTTTGCATAGACATTAGATAGGCTACAATCTTGGATTATTAGAAAACAGACAGCAATATTTTAACCTGTAGTAGTTTGTGGTTATTGTCCAGTCAAATGTTTATCGTTCAGGGCCAGATCCCCTTCTTTCAGCACAGTCTTCATGAACAGAGGCAGAATTCTTTGGCTGGTGATAAACCATGATCTAAATTGTTAATTTGATGAAGTCAACTGGATCTTAGGAGTCCAACCTTTTTTGTAAAGGATTAAGAACTCTGATAAGTAAGTAAATTACAGTTATAATCATTTAAAAAATAATAATTAATTGGTTTTACCTTTGATTGTGAATGACCTATAAATTAACTACAACTTTCCATTGTAGTTAATAATATATTTATAGTCTACTGGTAAAATATCACAAAAGTTGTGCATTCAAGGGCCTTCTATAAGTGAAGTAGAACACAGACTGAGAAAGCTCTGCAGAAGCACCAACTCTGGTTCACTAATGTGACACAAGGTAATTCAGAAAGATTCAACTGGATGGAAGAACAACTGATTTTAGCTCCAATATCATCTAACAAGATCATTTCATATTATCACAATAAAACAATCCTTTATGATGACTTTCTGATTATTTCCATTATTTAGCCTCCATCACTCACTGCTTCATGCGTGAACACAGACATGTGTGAGAACGATTTGTGTTCACATTAATTTGTTGGAATATGGAACATTTAGAAACAGCTCACCTATTTGATGATGAAGGTTGGTCTGATTTAAAATCTATACCAATACCCTTTGAATCATTACTCTTAAAGGACAGACAGCTGGGTTCAGGTTCTGGCTCAGATCGTTTCCTGTAAAAAAAAAAAAAGATGGTTTGGTGATGTTCATGTTGAGCTCTGACATGGAGAAGAGTCCTGGACAGTTAGAGATGGTGATCTGACCTCTGAGTTTTGCTCTGTCCCTCATTTTCTCCAGACCTACTGATCTTAGAGGGAGGGATTCTGTCCAGTTTGTCCTCAAACGGATCCATGCTGCTAACTTCACATCAGGTCACACACAGAGCTGCAGCAAAGAACACACAGGAGAAAGCTTCATATTTTCCAATGATTCACACCTAATGTTAAATAAGAAAACCCAAAGTGTTTCACAGCTCCGTTTGAAAACAGACAGTAAAAGCTTTGTGTTGAAGGAATGCCGTGATTCCAGTTTGACTGAGTTACAGAATCCCAAACTGTAGGTCTAGATCAGTCAGACTATTTCCTGCTGCAGATTTAAAAAAAAAATACCAGTTAAATGCTGTGTTTGACAACCATCAAACTATAAAAAAACGGTTTTTCAAAGCCGAATTCGAACTTAATATCAGAGAAATTGAATAGTTTAACTAAATGTGATCTAATTTTACTTTGATGGATTAAAATACGAAAAAGGAAGCTGTTGGGTCTGACTTTAATAGACAGGATGATTTTTTTTTTTCTCATAATAAACAAGCAATATTTTGGTAAAGTGAAGAAAAAAAAACATCTAAACGTCAGCTGTTCATCATTTTGACTATCAATTTTTTAAAATATTCTATTCAACATAAAAGCTAAAATCAACAGTATTTTCAACACATCAATTTCAAAGTTTAACTATGAAAAAAGAAGAACTTACAGTTTGTTCAAACTTGCCAAAGTATAGAAGAGACTTGGAAAATGAACCTGAGGCTGAACTGCTTTCGGGAATGACTAATACCTTAACCTGAAGCTTATGAACATTATGATTGGAACAGCGAACCTAAAGGTGGGAAATAGATACAAATAGATTGTCAGTTACCAGTTGAACTGGTTAAACCACCAATTTACAGAAGCTGCACATGCTGTACTCTGCTTAACTTCTCTCTTTTTTTTTTTACTCTGTCCTGTCTGGCGATGTTGCAATAGGAATAATTGTCTAGATGCCAAAAAGAGCCCCACAGTTTACTTTCACAAGTGGAGCAGAAGGGCTATGTCCATAGTGTTCTGCTTGATTTATTCTTATAAATTGCTTTATTATAATTATGCAGGGGGTTTTACAGATTATATGGACACTGCAGTGGAAGTATAACAGGAAAGGAAAAACAGAAAAAAATGAGAAAAGATGAAAGAAAGAGGAGATAAAAGGGAGATAATGATAAAACTTTTTCAGTCTGCTTCATCACCTGCAAAGAGATGTAAAAAGAACAACACAACCAACAGACATGGTATACAATAAACTAACACCTAGATACTATCGCTGAAGTATAAGTAGTATTATTTAATCTGACATGTACTCTGTGTTGCCTGAAGATAAGAATGTGGGCTTTCTGTACTTGGAACCAAGCACCTGTAGTTGTTTGTGAGAGTGCACATGTGCATGTAAAGTTTATCCAAAGGAAAAATGCTCAATACTAGTTGTGGAGAGCCGAAGAGGCGCCCTCCCAGAGCACTGAGTCCAGCGCTGGGAGACCCAAAGCCCCAGACGCCCAAAGGGACCCCAAGAGCGGGGCACCACGGAGGGGCCAACCCAGGAAGTCCGACCCCAACCAAGGGATGAGGAGAGTCGGCCCAGAGGAAGTCCCCCAGCCACTGCAACGCCAGAGCTCCAGGGAGCCGCAGGCTCCGCCGGCAGCCAGCCACCCTGAGGTGAATCCGGCCAAGAGCAGTTCAGACCCTAACCTGGGAAAAAACAAAAGCAAAAAAAAACTCACAGTCTCAATCAAGCCTTCCCACCCTAGTGCCCCCACTCACACTAAACAGACTCCGTTGAGATGAGCCAAAAAAAAAAAAAAGACTTGGACGCTCATTGACACATAACACTCACATCCAATAATACCAGGACCAAAGTCCCGACGACACCAATGGTTGGTCCCGGGATTATGACCAAATAAGTGAACCTAAAATCCGGATGTGGGGGAGCGGTGACACCGTCACACCAATCCATCTTGTTCCTGCTTTGGGCCTGGCTCCGTACCCGGACCAGAACACCGCCAGCAAAAGCTCCCCCGGGATCGGGGCCCACAAGGCCCACACAGGCCACCCAAACAGAGCCCCCCCACCCACACTAACTATTTCCCCCAGCCACTTTCTCTCCTCCGTTTGCTACACGCCCGTCCCTCCATCCTCCTTTCGGTAGAGCAGAAGTGAAAGCCCCGGCACTGGCAGGCCACCCAGGCCCCGCAGCAGCCCCCTACCAAGACCACGGACCAGGCGGCTCGCTCTTCCTCCAGGCCCGGACTCCAAGTGGCAGCCGGGGAACAGTGGTGTGAAAAGACCCAGATCTTCCCTGCGCCTGCTCGAATGTGGTGTTGTTGTGTGTTGCACTCAGGTGTAATTAAAACTGGGAGTACCAAAAGGGGGTGTCCAGCACAGTCCACCCCCCCTCCGGAAGACAGACGGTGCCAGCGAACCCCCCAATCGACAACCCAGGATTTGCAAATGTGACAGGGGATGGGGGGAGCCAACTGTGGAAGAGCTGGAAGATGTTTGATTATTTGTCGTGACACAGGCTGTTGGGAAGCTGTATAAGATAATTAACCAATTTATAAAGGAATTGCCAAAAACACATTTATGTAGAGTAGCAAATAAAAATTTCCAGTTTACTTTATCAAATGCTTTTTCTGCATCTAAAGACAGTATGTAGGATTTAATATTTTTACTGTAGGAATAATCTATTAAGTTAAGCACTCTGCGTGTGTTAGTGGCTGACTGACTTCCTTTAATGAACCCAGATTAATCTGGGTGGATTATAAGAGGAGTGATTTTATCTAATAGTTTTGTTAAAGCTTTACAGTTTATTTTAATATCCACATTAATTAAGGATATGGGACGATAGCTGGTCGGAAAAATAGGATCGTTTTCTTTGTTGACAGCAGTGAGTCCAGGGTCGCTCTTTGACACTCTGATAATTTAGGTACAGTTATTTTATCCAGAAATTGTTTGATATCATTATCTGATTAATTTAACTGTGATGTGTATAAAAATTTATAGAAATCTCGGAAGACATTATTCATACCCTTCTGATCTTGTAATGTATTACCAATTGAGTCTGTAACTGCAAATATTGTTGTTTTTTTCTTTGTTTCTTTTTAGCTGATTGGCTAAGAAACTTACTGACTTGTTGCTATGCTCAAAGTTTTCTATTTAGAGTCTTTGTATTAAAAATGTATTTTGTTTTTCAATATATTCATTTAGTTCTAGTTTTATTTTATGGATTTTACCTAATTTTTCCTCATCTAGCGAGCTTTCTACTAACTTAATTTTTTCCTCTACTTCCGGGATCTAGTTTTGTTCTAACTTTTTTTATGAGATGAGAATTAAATTATTTTACCTTATTACTGCTTTCTTATATATAAATGACTATGGTCGAGAAGGCTTTCTCCGATTGCAATGAACTCGGACAGAAGAAGATGTTTAACCAGAGCAAATTACTAACTTCACCGAAGTCATTAAAACCCAATGCTGTAAGTGAGTGAGCTGACCGTAGTAAGATGGCTGCCGACCGGAAGTTAGCTTTAGCTTAGCATCTTGATCTCCTCTAAGCAGTTTTCCTATCAGATGAGGCTAAAATCCACAGTGTGCATCATCCACTAAAAAATATATCTGTTAGCCAACGAAACGATACGCAAGTATCGAAAAAAGTACTGTTTAAACCTACGGGGAATCGTCAATAAGAAGAGTCTGAGCACAACTATTCTACACAAACAGAGGTAGCTAATGCTAGTGCTACCAGCAAATGAGACAGAGGAACTACCACACCAACAAATACTCCTGAAAAAGGACAAACAGGAAAGAAAGTTAAAGGCACGCTGTGACCAGACATTTCCTGAGGAAGCAGTCGGACCCATACTCAGTGCTCTGGAAGCTCTAGGTAAACGGGTTGATAATCAGTTGGATGATATTAGCAGCCAGCTACAGCAACACAGTGCCATGCTAGCTTCAATTGCCAAAACAGATTTGATGGATCTGACCCAGGACTACTGGAAATCCAGGCAGGTACTGTGGCCAAGAATTGAGAAGACAAGTGTAACCCAGGGTGAAAACTGCCCTTAGTCCCGCCTTACTGCCCCATTGGTTAGAGTGACAGTCAGTCACACAGTGCA